ACGCCCCTAAACTGCCCCGAACCCAAACCTCACAATCCGACATCCCCAACCCATCCTCACGCCCCTCCGTCGACGCCGATCCCCCACGTCCCACAACCGCAAACTCCACAAAGGCCTCCCGCTTCTCCTTCATCACAAGCCGCTTCCCGTCGCCGGCGAATACAGGGGGTATGCCTCCGCCTCCACCACCGAAAGACCCGTCCCACGCACCACCGGTCGACTACACCCTACTTAACGAGCTCGAGCGCGAGCGTGCCCTACGAGCCAAGGCGGAAGCACGCGTGCAGACTGTAGATTCTGAGATTGAGGAACTGAGCGTGCAATTGTTCAGTCAGGCCAACGAGATGGTAGCGGAAGAGCGACGGGCAAGAGCTAAGCTGGAAGAAAGAGTCGAGACTTTAGAACGCAGGGACAGGGAGAAGATGGGCAGGCTGGATCGCTTGGAGAAGGCCGTGACAAGAGTGGAGAGAGTCAAGGCATTGTTGGGTGAGAAGGAAGATCTGAAGAGAGAGTCGGTTAGCAGCGGGTTGTTGTCACCACCGGCTAGGAGGTGATGAGATTTTCGGCATTGTTTCTCGTTGCTGTTCTTCCGTGTCATTTGTTACGATACCCATTTAGTTTTGATCTACTGCATCTTAGCGTAGCGTTTGGCGTGGTTGGCTTTACAGTGGGTGCATTTTTCGGTGTCGGCGGTCGGTATCGGTATCTAGAGGCGGATCATCCTGTAGGGAAAGCGGAAGACATAGCCTGCGTTAACTATACAACATTGTACTCTGCGTTAACCGTACGGCATTATACTCTGTAGGCTCTGTGTGATGAGATGGAAGCGTTTCTTACTTCGTGACTGCCCGGGCAGAATACGACACCGTCATAAGCATTACATCACAACAGCATGAAGTAGCAAACTGACTCATCAAAGCTCCGCAAGGCATCGACTCCACTCCTCGTAACAGTAGATCTGGTTGTGTAAATGTTTAGATAGCGTCCTGGCCATTGGCCATCAGCGATGCTACTAATATCCCACAAAGAGCACAATACCTTCCCCCAGCGCAAAGGAAAGCCAGGCAACACCGTGAGCTAGCCAAAGCCGCTTACTCATCTCGTTGCTCTTCCAGCCCAAGCGGCTTCCCACATACACCCACTCACACATTCACAAAATCAAATATGCGCGCCGACACCCCTTCCATCTTCTCCCATCCCGTGACACGCTTTTTATCACCCGGCCAAAAGCTCCGCAAGACTCATAGCACTGCCACCGCACCCATAGCATCCATGGTTTCTCAAAACAGTGTCCGTGCACTCTGCCCTATGCTTTCCAGAGCTTCACTGCGTATCCATGGTGCAGAAGAAGGCATTGCAACTTCTCGTCTGGTCATGGTAACCTGGTCCTTGAGTCGTGTCATGTGCCTTCTAGTATTCAGTATTCGGGTGAATGGCTTCTGGAATTTCGCATATGCGTCTGTGTGACGGATGATGGGGGGTTGATGTGGCGTGCATCGTCTTGATTTTCGAGCGCTGAATGAAGCTTTGGCCATACTAAGAGCGCGATTTGAATGAATTGAACGTGATACGTGACTTTGTCGCGTTGTAATCGCTGAATAATGGTGTCGATTCGCCTGGAGTCCCTCGAAAGAGCAAGACTCAGTCGCTTAGATCCAGTGGCTGCTTTCGCACAAAGACATTTCAGTCGTCCCTGTGACCAATATGTGTGGAAACATAGGCATCCATACTGGTGTCGGGAGAGTTGGCCGCGAAAGATGACTCTGTAGTGACAATACCCTCACCTCTTCCAAGGTTACGTCTGATTTTGCTATCGGTGACCGTTCTCTCATAATCATAGCAGCGACTCAGCTGCCAGTGTTGATGTTCGTGACATGGTTCTGTTGCTCACATCTTGGTCGCTCCGTAGTATCTCTTTCTTCCCATTAATAATATCTTGCTGAAGACTCACAACCGCTGTGGAGACCTGCTGCGTTTTTATTCTTATAAAACGCAGCGCATTCCTCTCTTCCCTTCTCTTTCTTTTCTTTAGCAGATATCCGACTCTTGACTCTACACATACCAAGTTAGATATCAAGATTGTCTTCGAACTTACCTTCAAGACATACAACACTACCACCACTTCTGCTACCAACACACTACTACAACCACTACTACAACCACCATCACCAACACAAAAGTAAAGTCAAGTACTTTACCTTCCACCTTCAAGTGAGCTACAACTAGTAACTCATAAACCCAAAACAATCCTAACAGCAATTCAGCATGCCCGGCTACTGGGACAAGAACAAGTGCGCAAGCGCCGAGGACAGGGCGGCTGCCATAGCAGACATGGAGAGGGTCGCTCAGGAGGCCAAAGCCCAATTCCAGACCCGCCAAGCCCCCTCCAGCCATGGCCTTGTTGGGTTTCACCGAAACGGGAACGGCGATATGGTCAAGGTCATCGTCAACAACATGGCTTGGACGGAAGAGTTAGTTCCTGCCGAGAAGCAGGGTTTGGCCTTTGGCCACGTTTGGCTGCCCACTTGGCCGAAAGGGAACGCAGGGCCTTACAATCACTGGTCCGAATATGACCAGAATCAGTCCGAGTTCATCCCGGTCATGGATGCGGATATTGGCTTCAACGAGGTCAATATAGGATTGACTGAAGGGATGAGATTTCTCCAGCTTAGGGAGGTCATACTTTCGGAGAATTCCTTCGGAAGGTTTTTTGAAGGCGTTATGTCGTCTTCTCTCGATCCGGCTCGAGAGTACTTCACAATGGCCTCGGATGGTAGTATCCAGGCACATCCTGCCCCTGCTCCCGCCCCTCAAGAGCAGCCCGGCAACCCCGCTGGAGACTTCGTTGGTCTCAGCGGTGACCAACTCGCGGAGATCCCGTTGTATGAGGACGACACGGGAGTCGAGCCCTCCTCTCTTCCGTCGTCTGGTCCTAGTTTTGGACCCGACTTTTTTTCTGGCAGCGACAAGTCTGCCCCTTCGTCGGAACCCCCGACTAACAGCCCGTTTGCCGGCGACATGGCTCTTGGATGGTAAGAGCCGCAGCCTACCGCTGCGTTTGACGCCGACATGGCTGCTGACGGTCTCGACCCAACGACGTTCGATCCGTTTGCCGGCTTCATGCCCGCGAAGCCATGAGTTCCGGCCTGAGTTTTGACAGCGAGGACCTCCTGGCATATGTCTGGCGTTTCGGAGGATTGTGCTTTTTTGGTGTCTATTTTGGGTTTCTTTCTTACTGTTTTTATGTTAATTCTGGAAATACAAACACATCATCGCCAATTGTAGTCAGCTTGCTTCACACGTGATGTCTGGTATGTATACTTATCCTTTGGAGATCAACTACCTGCAGCAGACTACTAGTATCTCCAAAGACACAACAGCCGATCATAGAAGCTAGTAGATATGAACGTCCGTTGACCCTGACTATTGAGATCTGGCTGAGAGTCACTTCCGTAGTTCATGCTCTTATGCTCCTCGAACTTGGCCAGTACCTCGATCTGCCAATCTTTGGAAGTGCTCTTGATGAGCCTGACGATCCTAGTGCCAGCATGCATGCAGCTAACAAGCAGTAGAATGGCCTCTGGCGGCGGTTCCGATCTCCATTTCTCTACGCCGTGGTGCGCTGGTAGCTTGGGGTTTCGGTCCAGCAGCTTCAGCCGCCATACGCCACCACCGAGGTTGGCTTCCGCAAGAACCTGACGACGGCCTGAGATAGGTACGTGGAGAAGCCTGATATGATCATCGTAGCTGCCAGTAATGATCAGACCACCTTGGCTGTCCAGATGTACGGGGAGAATAGCAGTGACACCAGCGCCGTGTATCTTTCCATCCATCCAGGGTACGCTTCCTCCAGATCCGTCCGACAACTCCGCAAAACGAAGCGCGCTGTCATCTCCACCCGACAGCAGTCCTGAGCCATCCGGTAAGAACGCAAGGGTCCAGGCCTCCAAATCATGCGATGCGACTTCCATCTTCGTAGGCGCATCGGACTCGTCTTCCGTATCTATGACACCGAGACATACCTGTCCGTTCGACAGCGTCATACCGACCATGAAGGACTCCGGGTGCCAAGTGAAGGCAGTGATGAGTACATCTTCTGGGAAGTATTGGATAGTCTTGATGTGGGCGATCTTGGGGTCGCGCTGCCACGACTGAAGTTCGTAGATCGCGAACGCACCTGTTGAAGTTGCAACGCCGAAGTTGGAGCTGGTGACATGCGTCAAGAAATGTATGTCCAGGATAGCTGATGGTGTCGACAGCGTCTGAACGATGTGGCTGTCTAGGGTTAGTTCTACGCCTAAACAAGCGCAATGAATACAGATAATCCGTAGATAATCCTACGTACACTATATCGCCATCAACGCGTACCAATATCAGACTGCCATTGCGCTGCTGATTTTTGGCGCTCACTTTGCCATCGTGTGGAGCGCTCCCCGCGGATTCTTTCTCGTCGGACTTTTCGAGGTTGTACGTGCCGATTATCGCATATTGCGGGTTTAAAGGGAAGAACTCGATACAGCTAGGAGGCAGATCGAGCTTAAAAGACGTGAGAGATTGTATCGAAGTCATGTTGCGGGGATGGTGTCCTTTTCTGACAGCCTCTCATTTCGGTTAGTGGGCTAGGTGACTAAGCAGGACCAGGGTGACGCAACCCATTTCGAGCTCTCCTTCCTCAGATCACACGCCGCTGCGCTTTATGCGCATCGCGATCACCACGAACGTAGACGATGTCAGTCAATGCTCGTCGAACAATCCTTCACGGCTTTGATGGCGCCTGCGCCGTCGAATTGATGCCTTGCTAATCCCTGATATCGCGACATCGCTGCCTAGACTAGTCCCGAAGCGAACAACACCTGACCACGCGACTTCCATGACGAAGTCCTATTAAAGAAGTCGCGCACACGCGTTCTAACGTGTTGTTTCAATCTCATCTGCGTTGTGATCCATCTCGACACCTCTCAGATTTACTTAACCCGCAATTGACTTCCCAGCCATTCACCATGACCGACATCAGCGCCACAGCAGAAACCTTTGCGTCTGGACGTTACTCCAAGCGCAAGAGGACTCAGGTCACATACCACCTCGATGAGCTGGACGTCTCGGACTCAGAGTCGGACTTTGACACGCCACAAGCAAAGGTTCGATGCACCTCTGCGTGAACTACAAGCACTGAGACTAACGAATCTACTCCAGAAGCGTGCAGTCGCGACAAGTTCCCGCCCACTTCCCAAGCGCAAGATCTTCCCTTTCCTGAAACTCCCTGCCGAGATCAGAAACATCATCTACGAGTACACGCTCACCGACCCCTCTGGCATCAACCTCGTCGGCGTATTCAAGCACAAGCGCCGCAACGTAGAACGCATATCCGCCAAGTTGCAAGCTGAGCTCTCCGAAGGATCCAGCTGGTCTGATGCCCAGCGCATGAACAACGGTATCCGGAAGACTCAAGAAGAACCAGCGCCTCTCGTCACATCGCTGCTCGCAGTGAATAAGCAGATCCACCAGGAAGGCGTCGATATCTTGTATGGCAAGAACGAATTCATCTTCACTGATAGCTTCGCGTTGTACAACTTCATGATCAACCTCGGTCCCAACCGTTCCAAAAGCCTCAAAACGCTCCGCATACTAGGCTGGCTTCACGGCCGCGCCATGAAAGCGTACAATCACTCTTGCTTTGCTGCCCTCGTCTGGGCGACCAACATCACCGCCTTCCATATCGATTCCCAGATCGGCTGGTACCGCGCCTCCAAGTACGGCGCCGACCAACTTTACCGCGATGCGTTCCCCTGGATGGAAGCTGTGGGTATGGCGCAAGGCAAAGTCGACGCTGTTGTCGACATCATCAAGCTCGGCGAAGACCATTTCGCCAGCCGTAATAGCTATCATCGTTATTCGTCTCAAGCGCCGAAGTCTAACGATGATATGTACGAGGAGTTCACGACGGCGTTGAGGAAGTCGCTGGGAGCACAGCGACAAAGAGTCATGGCGCCGACTAGTCAGGTGAAGAGAGTCAAGGTTGTGAAGAGAGTGGTGGACGACGAGGAGTGAGTATGAACGGATATGCTGGTCGCAGAGCAAGCCTGACGAACTCCCAAGACGTACGAGCGAAATCGAAGAAGCGGAAGTGGATGTAACACAAGGCTTCATAGGGTCTGTTCGGAGTTGGTGGTCGAATACGTGTATGATTTCACGCGCCTGTACATGAAGCTGTCAGTCCTCATTACTACGACACGACGAACCCGGCTTGAGTCACGGCAGAGATATAGAACACTCCTTATTTACTACATTCATTCAGAATCAGATACTAGAGAATTAGATGACTTCGTATTTCATTACACACATTCAGAATCAAATACTACTTACAACATAACCACAGTCTATTAGTATAAAAGTATGCAAATCCACAGTACATTGGGTATTAAGCCGTCCATCTCCCAACAAATAGACAGACAAGACACGTACAGAGACCAACCAACCATCATGACACATGAGCTTCGTAAAGCATGACATGACATGACATGCCGACATTATATCCACCCCCCTCACTTAAGCACTAACCTCTCCAGCATAACCCTCAGCGCATCCGCCCCTTCCTTGCCATCGACCCCTAATTCCCTCTCCACGCCCCTGACATGCTCCTCTGTCTTGCCTCTCAACTCTTCAATAACACCCTTACTGTATTCAAAGCTACCCTTGCTCTCCATGTATCTAAGCGCATACCGCTTGACCTCCTCATCCGTAGTCTTCTGTTTGAGGATGTTGATCAAGATCTGGTTGCTAGGATCGGCGCGGATGGCGTGGATAACGGGGAAGCTGAATTTGCCTTCTGTGAGGTCTTCGCAGAGGCCTTTCAGGGTTGTGTAACCGGATGTGGGCGAGAGGTTGAGGTGGTCGTCTAGGATTTGGAAGAGGAGGCCTATTGTGGAGACGAGGGGGGTGCAGTCACTGGGCGTTGTCAGCTGGGGTGAAATCTTGGGGTGGAAACGTCAGGCACGTACATATCTGTATGCGACTCGGCTTGCATGAGCTTGATTGCTAGTCTGAATAGACCCCCGGTTTTGTTCCCTACCATCTCTAGGTAGTCTGCTTCGCTCGGACATGTCAGGGTGTCCCTCCAGTATAGGTCCATGCCCTGTCCGCGGTGCAGGTTCAACAGCTCTTCTGTGAAGATCTCGATGAGCTTGGGGTTGTTCATAGAGAGAAGCAGGGATAGCGCGCGGAAGTAGACGTAGTTGGCCGAGTTGATCGTTTGCGGGGTACCGAAGATGGAGTGTGCGACCGGGATGCCGCGGCGGAGGATGGAGGAGTCTTCTACATCGTCGACGCTGGGGGTTGTTAGGCAAGGGAGGGGAATGTGGGGTGGGTGTGCTTACAGTAAACTCGCGGTATGCAGCATGCCCACCACTTTTGTGATAATCTCGAGTCTCTCTGGCGGCACTTTCAACCACAGATTGAAGGCTGCGATGCACTGACTCCGTATGTCCTTGCCGGGGTGTCCATACAGGTAGTCGTAGGGCCCCAGTAATATGCGCTCCTTGCCTTCTGTCCACGCAACCCCATTTCCGTATATGAGCTCCTCGCCGATCTCTTTTGCATGCTCTGCGGGTGGTGACAGAGGCGTCGGGTAATTTGTGCTGGCTTCGAGGTTTGCGCCGGCTTGGGTGTTGTCCATGGGCGAGTCCATGTCGGTGTGCTCGGTGCGGGGCGGCGAGTTCAACTGCGCGGCCATGGTCTGCGGTCGAGGTTGTTGCATGCACACGTTTTGGGCAGGCGCGTTCGAGGGATCCGCCGGATGGCTCGTCTTGCTTTTCTTGCTCTGGCCGAGCCAATCAATCTCGCTCAAAGGACGCAGCACACTCGTTCTGGACGGTTGCTTGGCAATGCTCGCGTTCAAGTTGAGGATGCCCGTGGAGCTGGTGCGGGGCGGGATGGCGTTGGGCGAGGCGAAGGGGTGGTTTGGGGAAGTGGCCGGCATGATGTCGAGGAGCGCGGAGGGGCCGGACGGTGTTTATACAAGGCGCACACCACTACGCGACCCTCCTCTACTTTGGTTGAGGTGCCTGGCGGGCACGCGGCGCCGAGGCTCGTGACAATGCAATGACGGCTGCTGTGAACAGATGGGGTTACCCTCGTAGACGTTACTTTGAGGCTGCAGGATGCGCTGCGAGGACGGGGCGGAAAAGCGGCGCAACAGCCTCTTGGAAGCCCAGTGCGGAGTCCTCGGGTCGCGTCTTCTGTCTATGGTAGCCTCTGGCGCAGAGCTAAGGGGGAGGTTGGAGAAGACCGTCGGGGAGTTGGCCGCATGATAGCAGGCACAAGGCCCTTTTTGCTGCGCATCATTAACATACCGAGCTCTCCATCAAATGCACATGTCGAATGCATGGGAATGCATGTATGACGCCAGGTGTCGCTTAATCCCTGCGTCGGCGATGCGCTAACCCCTCACGGCTGGCGAGCCCCCATCTGAGATTGCGCACTGCTCACAGCACGCCCCGAGTCGAGCCATCTTGCCCAACACTTTGGATAAATCCACCACAAAAACTGCCACATTATCCTTCTTTGAGCCGGAGATTTAATGCACCCCTCTGGTTCACCTGCATTGGGAACGACCATCACCTAGCAGAAGCACATATGACAAGGGCACGTAGTCCAATTGCGGAACTGGTCTCTATATCTTGTAGTCCGCCTTCATTGCAATCCGTCCGCACTCCAGAAACAGCAATAACTCGGCTGCCGCCAGTGCAGCATTAGATATTATACAAATCAAAAGGCTTGTGTTACAGGCAGAAGAGGAAGAAGAAGGAGCTCCAAACCTGCCAGATGGCCTCCCCCAATTCAAACGGGTATGGAAAGGAAATAAGGTAAAATGAGAAAAGGGTGGAGGGCCGAAAGTATGCAAGGAGAGAGATACAGCCCCAGTTTAGAACCGTTTTGTATCCAACACAACAAGGAAAAGGTGATGCCTGATGCTGTAGTCGTACGTCGTCACAAAGAAAAGCCGAGAGGAAAGGAGAGTGGAGCCGTTGGGGCGAAGAGTTGGGTAGAAGTCGTGGCGACCATTTACAGCGCTTGGTTGTACGCAATCCAGGCATCGTGCGCCTCACGCAGGACTAGACAGAAGTTAGCATCTGACGCACACATGGACAGGGTTGAAACCTACTTTGCAGAACCTGAGCTTGCCCAATGTACGTCTCGCATGCGCACTGCAAGGTACGCCCGTCCATGAAGTCCAGGACCACGCTGTTGGGAAGTTCTTGGCGATCTTGGTCAGGTGGGTAGGGTGTGCGGAAGTCGCTGAGATGGAATCGCTTGACAATTCCCTTCTCGTTGTGTTTCGACGGACTGAGGACGAGGTTGCCCAGGGCGTCAATCTCAACCCATCGTCGTTTCCAGAGCTGCATCAGGTTAGCGTAAAGTTGGTATTGACATTGATGAGACTTACCAGAGTGTCTGGGAACTGGATGTTCAGATCACCAACATGCACAGGCGGCGGTGGCTCGCGTAGAGACGCCAAAGAGGTGGAACGCATGTCGTTCTCGGGAAGTGCCAAGCTGCTGTTCGAGTTCTTCCAGGGCATGGCAGACATGGAAGAAGACATGCGCTTGAACATCTTGCTGGTGCGCGACTTCTTTTCGTCTTTCTTGTCCTTTTTGTCTTCCCTCTTGTCTTCGCCGTCGTGGCTGTGTACCGACTTAGACTCGCTCATGCGGCGACCGAAGGCTCTCCACGTACTTTCGGACGAAGCCCGCGAAGGTGCATTGCTGGGCTCGCGGGAGTGTGAAGACGAAGGTGGAGGAGAAGCAGGCTCCGGTCTTCCACGGGTAGGGCTCCTAGGCGTGATGGTTGCCTTTTGGTGGTCGATGATAAGAGGACTCTGGTGGAGATCAAGTGGTGTACTCTCCGTTGGCATGGCAAGCGTCGGCTTCATTGTCCGCTCATCGCGAACGATGCGGGCCGTCACTTGCACAGACTCCGGCTTCTCAACTCCTCGCTGTACGTTGTATACTGTCGACTTGACTGGCGCCGACTGTTTCTTCTTGTCAGGCGTTGTTGAAGCAGATGAAGCCAAGAACGATGGGCTTTCGAGACGCGGCGTAGATTTCCCAGATGGAGAGATCTCAACAGGTGTTGTTGCAAAGAATGAGGATTTACGCTGGGCGACGGAGCTTCTAGTGCTCAAAGCAGAGCTCGCAAGACTTACTTGTGAAGCCGATTCCCTGTTGGTCTTGTCTGCAAGTGCTTTGATCCTCTGCGAGATGCCTGAGGAAACGTTGATCTTCTTCGGCGCGGTGCTGGAGTCAGACTTTGGCGCAGGAGGCCAACCGCCTGAGATCTTACGGCCAGTCTGCTCAGGTGATAGGCGGCTGATGCCATGGTAATTCGACGATGCTGATCTGGGAGGCGTTTGTAGGTCTGTTGCGGAGGATTTCCTGGGGAAGAATGGGGTGATTGGCGACTTGGATACCGACATGGGCTTAGCTTGATGCACTGTAGCGCTTTGCAGCTCCTCCATGAAAGAATCATCCGACAGGTACTCGGTCTCGGATTGGTCCGCGCTGACTTCGAGTGGATCAAGGACCGCACGTCGCTTTCCTTTGGTCTCGTACCAACTTTGATGCTGGGAAGACGGCATGAGCATAGACTCCCTGTTGCGTCTCTTGGACTGTCCTTCCTCTTGCTGGTACCCTTCGTTCGACGGCATGTAGATGGTAGATTCGCGGTTCGAGCGGCGTTGTGATGGCATGTCATTCTCCCATGGCCTTAGGGTGTCCCTCTTGCTGCTGTCATCTGCGTCATCGAACGACGGCGCTCGCTCGGTAATTACTGGGCCTTGCGCAATCTCCTGTGCTTCGACAGGCGGTACGGGAGTTGTGCTCTCAGGAACCACAGTCGGCGTGCTGTCAACTGATTGCTCTTCATCCACAAAATCCGCATTGTGCGACTCTTCTTGCTCGTCAGACTTTTGCGATTCTTCCATACCTGCCTCGTCCTCAGAAATAGACGACGGCCGTGTTGAAGGTGCGCCGGTGGAACCGTGAGTCTGGGCG